CATAACTCACATTATCATTCAAAGTTTCGCTAATTTATTGAAGAGCCGCTAACTCAAATGCGAAAGTAAAATTATATATATATATATATATATATATATATATATATATATATATATATATATATATATATATATATATATATATATATATATATATATAATGCATTCAATGTAATGTATATATTACAAAATATATTTATTTAAACACATTATTCGTTAAAGTATATATACACACACGATTATACACACATATATACGCATATATATATATATAAAATTTATATATATATATAAAATTTATATATATATATATATAATTTATATATATATATATATATATATATATATATATATATATATATATATATATATATATATATATATATATATATATATATATATATATATTTATATATATTGATCAGAAGTTTAGAAAGCCAGGCTAAATGGAAGAAACCATAAGATAAAAAATGTCTTTGATTTCCCTCACGTCCTATTTACCAAGAGTTAGCTCCCGCTTGACCCCCGGCCCCCCACATTGGACTTGAGACTCCGCTCCCCTTTCTCTTCGGTAGAGCCACCGGCCGATTGTGGCGCATCAAGATTTATATCCACGGGTCGGGGAGAGATGACCGGTTAAGAAATTACCAAGACGGTCTTTGTTGATGTTTGTTCCACAGGTTTTACGTCGATATTTCAGTGTGTTGGTTTCATTTGCAATCCACTAATATACAACTTTAGTTACGAAAAGTGGTCGGCGTGGTCGAGTCGGTAAAGCTCATGATTGCTTAATCAAAAAGTCTCGAGTTGGAACCCTCGACAGATGAGGCTCGTTAGCTGGGGACAGCCACTCTTCTAGGAGAGACAACTCCAAAATCAAACAACTGCTGCCTTGTAGTTTGTTCTTGGTTTGACAAATATGGAAGCAACTCCACAAAAAAAAAAAGCAGGCTGAAATCGGAGTCAATGGCCTCAATGGCGCATAACCAGTTGACACGTATCCTTAACTGTGATGGAGGCGTGGTCGAGTCGGCAAATGCTCATAGTTGATATATTGGAAAAAGTCTCGATTTCAAACCCTCTGGCAGATAAGGCGCGATCCCTTCCAACACTAAAAATTAAGAACGAAGAAGTTACGAAAAATAATGGGATAAAAAATAAACACATCGCAATATTTAAATGTAAACACAGATTCGTATTGCTCACAATTACCCCCAACGATATTGAATACCAACAATAATTAGGATCTTGTGATACCCAACGACATTTTTATTTCTGTATTAATTTCGTATCTGACGCATCCTTGTTTTTTTTTATGCGCATAGCTCATCAGAACATCAATTTGATTGTATGCTCGTTTTCTTTATGCTCTGGTTTATTTCTCGTTTATTTTCATCGCATGCGTATTCCGTGTCTGTTAATGTCACACACACACACACACACACACACACACACACACACACACACACACACACGCACACACACACATACGCACACACTCACAAAATTAAATCAACATTTCTATTTCCTATCCCAGTAGGTGCGAAAATCATTACGTATCTGTTGTAGTTTCCGTCTTTATCTAGATAATATCTGTTTTCAATTATAAACATTTGCAAATATATTAATTTTTCTATTAGCCTAGATTTCCATTGTAAATTATTTACCTTTTAAGATTGGATTTTTGTTTTCATGCCCTAGATAAATGTTAATTAGTAAATGTTAATCAGCAAATGTTATTCAGTATATGTTAATCATTAAATGTTAATTAGTAAATGTAAATCAGTAAAATTGATGTTAATCAGTAAATGTTAATGAGTAAATGTTAATTAGTAAATGTTAATCAGTAAAATTATGTTAATCAATCAATGTAAATGATTAAATGTTAATCAATAAATGTTAATCATTAGATGTTAATAATTAAAATTTAACCAATAAATACTCTTCAGTATACCAGAGGCGTAGCGACCCTTCCCGGCGCCCGGGGACAAACTTTCGATTTGCACCCCCCCCCCCTCGAACTTTTCATTTGCACCCCCCCTCAAAATTTCAATTTGGCGCCCACCCCCAAGGGTCGGCGCCCGGGGACATATGTCCCCTCCGCCCCCCCCCCCCCCCCCCCACCTCGCTACGCCTCTGCAGTATACTATAGGCCACCTTTTTCATATTACACACTCATAAAATACCATTATCCGCCGTTTTACCCACAATTCCTAAAATCTATACCCTCCTACACTTGGCCCCCAGACGCTTGTACTTTGTTAGACTTCCCATATTTCCATCACTCTTTCACAACACTGACGTATTTCCGGTAGCCATTAAAAGTAAGGGCATAAACGCTGACATAGCCGGATAGAGAGAAGATCAAAAGATATAAAAATATATTCCCCCCCCCCCACCTCCAACCCCCCACCCACTAAAAAAATGATAGAGAGACAGAGAGAAAAATTGATATCAATGACGCTAACATTGAGAGAAGCGCCAAAGATAGCGGGAAGGGAAAGAGGGGGGTAAAAAAATATGAGCATTCAATTATTGGCTTGGATAAAGAGGAAAAAAATGATTGCGCGTCGTAGGGAAGGATTAAGGAGAGAAAAATGTTAGAGAAAATGTATATCCAGCACATCAGACAGATTCTTCAAACGGCAAAAGATTTCAGTTGAAGCGGAATAGAATATTATAGACACCAAACATTGGTTTTTTTTGAAAGCCGAAAATGGCGTATGTAATTCTAGAGATATCAAATATCAGTGTGTACTGAAATGGTGAAAGTTATAGGGCTGGTAAGTAGTAACCAACCAGTTCTACGGCTCAATAAAACCTGCATGAGCCATAGAACTGGTTGGTGACCTACTTACCAGCCCTATAGCAATAAACGCAAGGGCGTGGTTGAGGGTTAGGGCACACGATTACAAATTGTAAGTCTGGAGTTTGAATCAGGGACCCATATATGTATGAAATCCTTTCAAATAAAGAAATAAGTCAAAGTGCTGACCTGCTTCTTCAGAGGTGACATAAACTCTGCTTCAGCTATCTCATGACGACCTACTAGTCCGAATAGTAATTATTTTATTTTTTCTTAATGACTTTGGTTGTTGGTTTATAAAAGAAACACAGGTATTTTATCCCGCTAACATTTAATTTGCACTGTGGCGTAAGTAATTCTACCGATTTAACAAAGTTGTATTTTCTTGGTTTGCTCACCGCAAACATAAAAAAAAAAGAATTCAAATGTTTACATTTGATTTTTACTATTTAAAAATCTAACGCAGCTTCAACACTTTAGAAAACGTAAAAATACTTTACAAACTGTCAACAAATATCTGTGTTCACTAAAATATTCTACAAACTGTCAACAAATATCTGTGTTCACTAAAATACTCTACAAACTGTCAACAAATATCTGTGTTCACTAAAATACTCTACAAACTGTCAACAAATATCTGTGTTCACAAAGAGCTCCTCAGACATTACTCTCTATTGCGTGTTCTGTCCAATATTTTCCTGATGTTTTAAACGGTAACATTTTTTTTGTACACGTAGCCGAGCTGTTTTTGACATCCCCGGAGGCCACACGTAGTCCGACCCCCGGGCGAATTGAAATCATTCACTGCTATCACGTGTGTGCAAAAGGCAATCACAAAACCAACACGGAACCCGTCCAAATAACAATCGTTCATTTTGCTAGAAAAACAACATAGCTCCTAACTCATTCAAGATAAAAAAGTTGGTTTAAAAAAAAATCAACACCTCCCTTTTAATGATTTATCATTGTTATTATGTTTTTGATTCGTGACTCTAATTTTAACCCTAAAACTAGTATCGATTACAATATTTTTAGATACGTTTAGAACCTTTTGGAGGGCGGCTTCAGCGATTTTCCCACGAGTGATTAATCACACACTTAAAAAACATTCTGACTACATAAAAACTCAATTCATCAACGCAAGACGCACTTGAGACAATATTTTAAATTGCAAAAAAAAAAAAAAAAAAAAAAAATTCTATTTAATATTTTGCCTAACTTCACCCCTCCCCCACCCCCGCTCCAGTCATTAAAAGCTCTGTCTGTAAAACTTAACCAAAGATGGACGGCCGGCTGGCCAGATAAAAATGGAGGAGAAGTAGCTAAATATTAGATTTGTTAAACTTGATGCAAAAGTTATACTCCCTCTCAGGACGTAATAAATCAAGGTTGAAAATCTTGCTAGGCAGTGGATTGAGTGCTTCGATTTTAGGAATGATTTTTTTTATATTAAGACATACATGGACACACACACAAACACAGATATACACATATAGTAGGTGTATATGTGTGTGTCTGTCTATGTTTATGTGTGTGTGTTGTCTCGTATTGCTGTTTTTTTTTATCTCATGCAACATGTTAATAAATAACGACTAAGTTGTCTTATATTTACACAGAATATGCGTGTTTTACTGTAATGATACATAACAGTAAATAATAGACCTGGTTCAATAAGGTACTTTTTTGGTAAAGGATGGCCTGTTTAAGTTGTGGTCCTATAGCAGAAAATGGTGATCTGTGTTTTCAAAGTGCTTAACACGGAGGCTGAGTTACGAGTACAAGCTTGTTTTATATGGAATAATATTCGTCAGGGTTTTAGAGTTTGTGGTGGTTTAGGTTTGGGGGGGGGGGGGGAAGGGGGTAGTTGTGGATTAAGTTCTGAGGATTTAGTTTTGTAAGGTTTATGTTTATGAGTTTCATTTTTGTGAGGGTTTGCGGTAGTAGGAATTTAAGTGTGTGGGGTTTATATGTGTGTGTAGGAGGAGGGGTTAGTTTGTGGGGTTTTAATTTATAATGGACTGCTTGGTAGGTCGTTTAGTGTATATATCTATTTGATGTCGGAGTTTTGAAAGGTGATTTCCGAGTGAAATATGTCACAAAAAATGGGATATTTGGAAATGGTTGAAGGGAAGGGTGTTGTAAAGTTAATTTTAAAAAAAATAAAAAATTAAAGTAAAGTAAAGAGTAGTCTTACCTTGAATAGGCACGTGCAGGTTTAGATTAAGGCAATCCTCCATCTGTTTACTCAGGAACGGTGTAATATTCCTAAGATGGGTCACCCGACCCTCGGGTAGCTGCTGGCTGTAATCCCGCTCGTGTCTGATCGGTTGGGGGCAGACCGGACTGTGGTCAACGGCCACCCGAATCCCATTCCAGTTTTCTTTTGGGTTTTTCGGAGGCATGAACCTCATCCCGCCGTTATCCAGGTCGGCGTACCGCAGGCCGTAGTAAGCCTCGACTCTTCTGCGTAGTAACTGGTTCTCAAACTCCACCAACACACCCCTGACTTTCCCGTACCGTGTGGAAACAATACGGTCACTTAACCCTTTAATCACCACACGACCGAATCCGTTTTGAAGCAAAGGTATTAAAAATAGAACGTAAACCAGCGCTTGCTCTAGAAATTTGTACCGCATTCTCGCGAAGAACATCATCTTGGTGTCCAAAACTAATCAAGAAAATAAAAAACAAAAATGTATCTTAAATCTTTTTCATTTTGAAACAATTCCCGCCGCGAAAACTAAATTTAGAAAATGGGATTTCGTTAACCATCAAACACAGAACACAAGACTTAGTGTTAGGAATTCTTCTCTCGCATAATGAATTAATCCCATTGGAAGAAATAACAGATGTATTTTTCCAGTTGCTCTTAGCTCTGTTGACAATCATGAGCATTTAGACAATTCCCTCACGTAAGCTCCTGGAGTTTAAGATCTGATTTTCATTAGATTTTTATCAACTCATTGTACGCGGGCTTCGTTAAAATTGATTAAATTAAAACTTGTATTAGCATAAGATTTCGAGGGGGAATTCAGCTAAGAAAATGTGTGAAAAATATTCCCTTAAATGGAGGGGGTGACTGCTTATAGGATTTTAGAATTTATCTAGACAAATCTTTGCTTTAGCCTGATCGATGTTAGGAGTTTCGATGTTCGATTTTGTTACATAGGGACGTTGATGAGTTTTGTTAGTGCATACATACTTTGTGTATTAACTTTTGAGGATTTGGAGTGATAAACCTTACGGTTTATGAAGATAAACCTCATAAGTTTGAGACTTTAAACCTCCAGGTTTATGACGTTGATCCTCTAGGTATAGGATACAAAACCTCCTTCACAATCACGACAGGCTTGGTTGACTAAGACATTGAGTCTACACATTTGACCCTTGTATGTTTTCACTTGTGAAACATATCGCCATATAAAGTGTTGAACATTTTGTACATTTCATCTCACACCCTTTTGCAACCTGTTGTAGGAGAAAGTGCATAATTTAATATTTAAAAAAAAACAATATTTACATATAATGTTAATTCAAATTCATTGTTACGAAAAAAGAAAATTATATCACTTTTTTAAAAAAAATATGCATTTTAGCTAACTCTAGCTGGAAAAATAATGTTTTTTTTTAATACAAAATAAATAAAGTTTGGGGCTTCAATAAGACTTGGGTTAGGATCTAGTAGGTGATAGGTTTAACGTTATAATTAACTATCAGTATCCTAGAACTGTTTTAAAAATTGCACAACATTTTTACGGTGACATAATTAAACAAAAACTATACCAAATACACATGTGAAAATTATTCATGAAATATTTGTTTGAAATCTAAATTCGTATGTCAACATTAGTGTTATATAAATGCAATTCATACACATCTATTAAAAAAAATAAAAAAAATACACATCTAGCATACAAACGCCAAGAGTTTTAACAATCCCTGAAGCTTACCATACCACTAAAGAGAATTTGTCTATAATATAACGCCTTGTGTGTACACTTCGTATTAAGAACCCATCCATCTTAACATTGGCAGTGTAAATAGCAAGGGAAACTATCACAGTGTAACCTACACCATTGACAGATCGATCTATCCTCAACATAAAATCCTCAATTAATCACCAATTCGCGTTTAATATGAGTTGTAACAAGGATTATTTTTGGTACTGTTCTTTGTGGTTTAAAAAATACAGTCAAAGCAGACCGATTGATTAAACACCAACTCATTTTTTGCATGAAAAAAATTATTATAAAGTTATTATTCACAGTTTACACTTACAGCTATATAATTTAAGATGTAAAAGAGGGTATACGCATCCTACACGTACAACCTAAAGTTCCCTTTCGAAACTGATCGTCCATTGGGCAAATGAAGTAGAGTTCACGTGTACCTGTGTCTTCAGCTTATGAAGAGATAATCTGGTTAGCACTACACCCAGGCGTCTTTACTTTCTCTAAAGTAAGTCAGATACCGTTTAGAGCTGGGTGGACTCAGAGACAATCTACGGACTTGAACCCGAAGTCGAACTCGAGACTTTATGATTAGCAATAGTATGTTCAAATATTCGACCACAGGTATCTTACAGGTGTTTCTTTACACGACGTAGGTTTCATTGTTTCTCCCCCACTTGGTTGAACATTTCGGGCATCAAATTCAACCCATTCACTCTCCAAATATCCTTTGCATGCATCATAAAAAGACCGTTCACACATAGATATTCTAGAAATATAAAAAATATTTTTTTTCGGACCTAGGCAGTCGAAACGACAGATGAAATGGATCTTTTGTGTCTGTGACCAAGTCATATGAATGCTTAGTGTGGTCAGTACGATTCCCAGCCGTCTTTACTTTTTTCGGTGTCCGGTCAAAAAACCCCTGGACATAAACCCCCAAACATAAAACCCCAGGACTAAAACCCCCCGCGACATAAACCCCCTGGACAAAAACCCCCGCGATATTTTTTGGTTGTCATCATCTTTGGTTTTTCCTTATATAAACCTCAATTGGGGGGTTTTTGTCCAGGGGGTTTATATCGCGTATATCGCGGGGGGGGGGGGGGGGGGGTTGTCCAGGGGGTTTATATCGCGGGGGGGGGGGGGGTTGACCAGGGGGTTTATGTCGGGGGAATTTATGTCCAGGGGGGTTTATGTCCAGGGGATTTTTGACCGGGAGCCACTTTTTCCCCCTACTATTAGGTGTTAAATGATCTCAACAATGACTTAAATACCAGAGAATGAACTCGGGACTTTCGGGTTGGTAGTAAAGCGCTCTACCACCTAGAAAATAAAGTAATTTAACTATATACTTATATCTACACGTAAAAAGTAACTACAGGGTGTGATTGGCTTGATGAAACCTGCATCATAATTGTGTTAAAATAATGACTCAGCAGTGTGGGTTGTAACGAGGCTGTGAATGTATGGTCATAAAAAAAAACAATATCACGTTGAATGAAAGCTGATTGCTCTCACGACACTTCTTAATACGTGAGGAGATAAAAGTTTGGGGATTAGTAGCGTTGAGGGGAAGTTACTGGCCAGATGGGAGTCTTATGAAGGGAGATAACTTGTAGATCCATGTGAAGGATTTGGGAGGGGAGACAATTTGCAGACATATGTGAATGATTGAGGAACGGGAGACAACTTGTAGACCTATGTGAAGGATTGGTGAGGTAGACTACTTGTAGACCTAGTTGAAGAATCGGGAAAGGGGGAGAGAGCTTCAGACCCATGTATATGATTGGGGAGGGAAGACAACTAACCGACTGCTGCAAAGCATTGGGGCGGCGGAAGGATTAATAATCTCATAAAGGGGGGCAACTTGCAGACTGATGTGAAGGATTGGGGAGGGAGATTGAGACTTACAAATGAGTGACGTGTTACATTTAAGAAACTTTCTTATTACATGCCAAGATGACACGATGTATCTAGCTCGTAAAAATTACCGAACAGCTCAACGAATGCTGAGAAATGTTGAGATTTAGCCGTGATAAGGTACCTACATTAAGGATCGTCGCTTTTCACCAAGTATATCAATCCTTCTACTTGTCATAACTTAAAAACCTATCGTATGTCGACCCTAACTTAAACATTTCAAATACAGATCCTGAATTCAACATTGTAATTAAAGAATAACCAATAATACAGTCTTTAGATAATAAGGAAGATAAACGTACCTTAATTACGTAAAGTAGAATGATATTTTTACTGTAACTAATATCAGATGTACGTTTTAATCTATTTTAGCCATTTCAGTAAAGCTGACATCTATATCTACACGTCACGAAGTAATCAGAATATAATTCATATTGATCTCAGGTCGCTTGACTTAAGTTTAGGATGTTTATTCTCATTTTATAAAACCAAAATCTTTAAACAAATGTACTGCCTAACTTCGCATACAATTTGTAACTAAAAATATGTATTTATATAAACTTAAAAGTACACAGACCAAATATATGCAGTAGTTTCCATATATTTTAGATATAAATGAATAGTTCAATGTTTTCTAAATCCAGTGGATCACAGACCGTTCTCGTGTTTCAGTTGATTTATGACCAGTTTAAAACTTCAAGATTTGGATGGCCAGATAAAATGCTGGTTTGCTTGCCAAATTTAGATCCTGAAATTATGAAACCGGATTTTTAGAAAATTTGGTGATCATAGATAAGAAAACGAACATATCCAGATTTGGTAAACTTGTAGCTTAATTTAGCTGCGTGTTTGTATGGGAGAAAATAAAAGTCCAATTTTACTTTAAGAAATATTTTTTATGATATTGTAGTCGAAGTCATGCATTAGCGCGTTCTTTTCGTTATTCTAAAATATAATATCTTATATTATATTTTTATGTAAAAGATATGTCTGTGGCTATAGAAATGATAGGTAAGTTTGTGATTCGATGCAAGTTTTTCGAGAAAACATTTATTTTTAGAATATGTTGCTTTATGAGAAGAGGCTAAACAAATTATCAAATTCCGAACGTTTTTGAGAAACCAAACTAGGGTATCGCTTAAAAAGGTTGATAAAAACATACACAGTTAAGTTCCAATAGTTATATATGAATTTCCGTCCACACACCTAAATAAAATGGTACTCACATTATAGTGTTCATAGACAGACACACATTCTAACTATTCTAAAAACTATTTTGTTCGAATAAGATAGATGTTAAAGACAAAATCTCGATTATGATTTTTTTGCTCACGATTACAATATTTCTACACTATACTCAGCATACATACAACTTACAAGAAAGTTTAAAAAGAACAAACAGTTAAACATTTCTGCTCTCTATACAGTACTGGAGTTTTAAATATCTTCCATCAACTGAAACCGTCATTCTTCAAGGACAGCTCAGCCGAGAACATCGCAAACCCTCTAGCACTTTAAACTTAGGGAGTCTCCCACACAAAACTTAATTTAAAAGCCCCAGTCACTTTTTGTACACTAAAAAAAAAGATTTTGTTCCGATGCTTAATTAGTTCATTAATTTTAATTGCACTCTTTTTATTCCTTTTTTGAAAAGTTCTCTTCGTTTATTCTATCTCATTTCTTACGGTAGATTTAACTTTGTTTTTGGACACCAGTAAAAACAGATGCTTTTTTTTGTAGTTGATCTTTCGTCAACGTTTTGGTCTACTCCCGAGAATTATGCTATTGGAATAACTTTTTTGTTTTTTGTTTAGATAGTAGACAATAGGTACAGTGGTGTAAAAAGGCGGTGGCGGGGTGAGGGTGCGTTTCGCACCGGGTGACACCCAACCTGGTGACGCCACCGGGCAAGGGTAAACTTAACAACGAAATGATTGACCTATACGGATATACAGCCTCTAATATTTGGTATAGGTAGAATGACCAAAGACCACATATTACTTGACCAAAACTTTCAACCAACCATCGCTTCGAATTCCCCCCCCCCCCCCCCCATCCAACTGATATACAGCCGTTGTTACATTTGTGTGGTTGGAATCTTAACAGTGAATCTAATCGGATTTAATCATTGGACGTGGATTATAAACAGTAGTGACCTAATGTGTACTTACGTCATTGATGGGATCCCTAAAGAAAATCTAGTGTGTACTAATGTCATTCATGGGATCCCTAAAGATAATCTAGTATGTACTTACGTCATATATGGGATCCCTAAGGAAAATCGAGTGTGTACGCCTACTTACGTCATGTATGGGATCCCTAAAGAAAATCTAGTATGTACTAATGTCAATGATGGGGTCCCTAAAGTAAATCTAGTATGTACTTACGTCATATATGGGATCCCTAAAGAAA